CTAACGGGATTGGACAGGGTAGATGCAGGGAGGATGTTCCCGATGGTGGGTGTGTCCAGAACCAGGGGGTCACAGTCTGAGGATTCGAGGTAAACCACTTAGGATGGAGATGAGGAGACATTTCTTCACCCAAAGAGTGGTGAGCCTGTGGAATTCATTACCACAGGAAGTAGCTGATGCCAAAACATTGAATGTATTCAAGAGGCAACTAGATATAGCACTTGGGGCGAATGGGATAAAGGTTATGGGGAGAAAGCAGAATCAGGCTATTGAGTTGGACTCTATCTATGGTAGCAAAGCCATGACAGTCAAGAATGACGCAGCAGGCTCGAAGGGCCAAATGGCCTCCTCCTGCTCCTATCTTCTATGTTTCTATGCTTCTATTAGGACCCTAGGAAGTACAGAGGATGACAGTTTAGCTTTAGATTACAGGAGGATATAGATGGGCTGATCAGATGGGAAGAGCAGTGTCAAATGGAATCCAGTAAATGTGAGGTGATGCACTTGGGCAGGACAAACAAGGAATAACATGATGAACGGTAGGCCACATGGAAGCACTGAGGATCAGAGGGACCTTGGTTTGCACGTCCCTTAAGGCACACAGTGGTTAAGGAGGTACATGGTGTATGTGTCTTTATTAGTCGAGGTATAGAGTATAAGAGCTGGGAGGTTATGCTGGATCTGTATAAAACATTGGTTAGGCCACAGCTACAATATTGTACGCAGTTTTGGAATCCACATTATAAGAGGGATGTGATTGCACTGGAGAGGGTGCAGAGGAGATTCACCAGGATGTTGCCTGGGATGAAAAGTGTAAGTTGTGAGGAGAGACTGGACAGACTGGGTTTGTTTTCCCTGGAGCAGAGGAGGCTGAGGTGGGATCTGACTGAGGATATAAAATTATGAGAGGCATAGACAGAGTAGATTGTGAGAATCTCTTCTCATGACATTTGTGCCTGAGAATAGAGGGTGCAGGTTTAAGATGAGGAACAAGTGGTTTGGAGGAAATCTGAGAAAAACATTTTCACCCATGGGTGGTAGGAATATGGAACATGCTGCCTGAGAGGGTGGTGGAGGCAGGTACTCTCGCAACATTTAAGAAGCATCTGGATGAGAACTTAAAATGCCAGGGCATTGGAGGATATGGACCAAGTGCAGATAAATGGGATTAGTGTGGTTTGTTGTTTGTTCTTTGGTGTAGACATGATGGGCCAAAGGGCCTGTTTCTATGCTGCGTGCCTCTATGAAATAACAAGGCAAGAGGGATAAAAACATAAGTTGCTGGAAAAGCTCAGCAGGTCTGGCAGCGTCTGTGAAGAAAATATCAGAGTTAACGTTTCAGGTCCGGTGACCCTTCCTCAGAACTCCAAAAATGTTAACTCTGATTATTTTCTTCACAGATGCTGCTAGATCTGTTGAGCTTTTCCAGCAACTTCTGTTTTTGTTCCTGATTTACAGCATCCACAGTTCCTTCGGTTTTTATAAGGCAAGACGGATGTTGGGTTAGAACAGGAAGAGAACAGATTATATACAAGATGTCTTGGGAACAGAGGTGAGAAACAGCACAATCAGCATGAGACATAGAATGGAAGCTGTGGACTTGGCAGGAGCAGAAATTCATGAAGTAGAGAAAGGTGATTGCATACATCCAAAACAAATGGAATGGAGTCACAGAACCCAAGGATTCTAAAATAAGTACCAAGGTTAATTATCCAGATAACATTAAGGTCCATGTTTGCTCTGGGTGAATAATTAATTCTTGGTTCAATTTGAAAAGCGAATAGGAGAAGAGAAATGTTGTTTAGGCTTAGTAGTGAGTATGTATTTGTATTTGGGATGTTGCATATCCTGAAATGACCTTTGAGAAGTGGTGGTGACCCACCTTCTTTAATTGTTACAACGCCTGTAATGCAGGCACATCAAAATGGTGCCTGAGTGTGGCAACACTTAACACTGTTTTGTTTTAAATACATGTCACAATAAATCATTCAATCGTTCAATTCAATTCACCCCACCCAATTATTTTATGTTGTGGTTTGATTCACTGAGTGGCGTGCTAGGCCACTTTAAAAAAATGTATTCGTGGGATATGGATCAGTGCTTATCGCCCGTCCCTAGTTGCCCCTTGAGAATGTGGGGGTGAGCTGCCTTCTTGAACCGCTGCAGTCCACCTGCTGTAGGTTGACCCACAATGTCATTAGGGAGGGAATTCCATGATTTTGACCCAGCAACAGTGAAGGAACGGCGATATATTTCCAAGTCAGGATGGTGAGTGGCTTGGAGGAGAACTTGGAGGTGGTGGTGTTCCCATATATCTGCTGCCCTTATCCTTCTAGATGTAAGTGGTCGTGGGTTTGGAAAGTGCTGTCTTAGGATTTTTGGTGCTTTTCTGTAGTGTATCTTGTCATTGGTACACACTGCTGCTACTAGCCTGGGGTTCTGGAATACTGTTCCAGCGACATTTCGCCTAGAATATTTGTTTTACTAACACCAGGACATTAATATTGTGGGAATTCAGTGATGGTAATGCCACTTATGTCAAGGGGCAATAAGATTAGACTCTTTCTTGGTGAAGATGGTCATTGCTCGGCACTTGTATTACATGAATGGTACGTGTGTTGCTGAGTCATACAGGTTCTATGGCAAGCACAGTATAAGGCCCTTCGGCCCATCATGTCTGCATCAGTCAAGAACAAATATCAGCTATTCTAATCCCATTTTCCAGTATTTCGCCCATAGCCATGTATTCTTTCTTCTGCAACATTTCACTTCTGAATTAGAATTGAATGGAAACTTACCATAGGTAACAACAAGTAGAAAAAATGGCATATTTCTGATCATTTGCAGTATTGACTGGATGTAGGAATAATCCAGCATAGGTTTGGCAAGGATAGCTGCCTGTGCTTGGCTTGGTGGAATATCTGGCTTCTCCTGAAAAACTGATAGAAAAGAGCATGATTATAATTCAGTTCCAATGTAAGTCATTTCTAAGCCTTTAATTCCCCCTTTTGTCTAATGCAATGTCCATTGTCTTTTCATGCATTAAGTATTTTCACAGTCTTTTCTAACTTGCAGCTTTGATCAGAGAAAGCAGAAAAACTGCAATTGCAATAGGTAATAATATTTCTAGCAGCCAATAATAATGAATTTGGTTACTATATCAAAAAAAGGTCAAGTTACGATCGTCCCATAGGACCATGGGGCTGCTCTTACATTAGACAGAGACGACCGCTAATGGTTTACCCTGAGGGTCACCAGGCCTCAGGCGAGGGGAGAGGTTGAGAAGGAGAGTACTTCATGACAAACTCAGCTAGTGTGGGAATTGAACCCAAGCTGTTGGTATCGTCTTACATCACAAACCAGCCATCTGAGCTGAGCCCAAATATATTCTGTAAGTAAGACCTGGATATTAATACATAGCACAAGCTCTTTTTAGATCTGAGAACACACAGCCAGGGTCACAATCATTAAACAAAGAACTGCGGATGCTGAAAATCTGAAACAAACATAAACAGAACAGTGTTCTGAGGAAGGGTCACTGGACCCGAAATGTTAACTCTGTTTTTTCCTTCACAGATGCTGCCAGACCTGCTGAGCTTTTCCAGCAACTTTGTTCTTGTTCCTAATTTACAGCATCTGCAGTACTTTCAGTTTTTATAAACAGAACAGAGTTAATGTTTCGAGTCTAGTTCTGAAGAAGGATCACTATACTCTAAATGTTAACTTTGTTTCTCCCTCCATTGATGCTGGCAGATCTGCTGGGCTTCTCCAGCAATTTCTGTTTTGATTGTTTCACAATTATTAATGCTGTCTGACTCAATTTTTTTTTTCTATTCATTTTGTGGGATGTGGGTATCACTGGCTGGCCAGCATTTCTTGCCCATCCCTAGTTGCCCTTGAGAAGGTGGTGGTGAGCTGCCTTCTTGAACCGCTGCAGTCCACCTGCTGTAGGTTGACCCACAATGATATTAGGGAGGGAATTCCAGGATTTTGACCCAGCGGCACTGAAGGAACGGCA